CATGTTATCATAAATGATTTATTTTAAATTTGCAATATAAATACCTTCTTTAAGCTTTTCTCACTTCATTTTCCTAATGATAATCTATTCAAAAGAACATGAAAAACAATTATATTTCATTGCAAAATAGTTTTTACTAATTTACTAGAAAATGGTTTTAGCTCTGCTGGGATTTAATTCATGGAGTAACCTAAATTCCTGCTGAGTTGAAAACTTGTATCCTGTTTTCCACGAGACTTCTCAGGGAGTAAGGGGCACTCATCTTGAGAAAGAACATCAGAGCCTGGTCTGGGGTATTTAGAAATGAAACATGTACTCCTTATTCTTTTACCACTGAAGATATTTCATACCACATATGATATGCATGGCTGACATAGAGTAATACTATATCTACATTTTTCAAGAAGACAGAGAGTAGTTGATGTGTCCTTTTCCAGGGCAGATGTTTTCCAGATATGCTATTGTCACTCATTAAGATAGTAAGGAAGACTTGTATGAGTTATGATATGGTAAATACTATATATGCCAGCTCATCCATAAAATACTACGGATTTCTCAGATAATTCTCCCTCTGGCTTGCTTTAATCATTTCAATATGACTAGTTTCCCTATGAACTCAGAATAACTTTTACATGTATCAGTGGCAGTATAAGCACTATAAGAGAAATTGCTGATGGTAATTTTTATTGTTTATTATTATTTATTTATTTATTGCATAAAATGTATTTGTTCTATCTTGTACCTCCACATAAGTCTTCACCTGTGCCAGAGGAAATGAATAAAGCTGCAGTACTTTCAGAACCTGAATTGCATTAGCAGAGGGCCTGAAATGGTACAACTTAATCAAATTGCTTTTTATGGTCTAAAATAGAGTGTTTTCCTATTTGTTGTTTGTTCCATAATCATGACAGCTTACTGGCCTCCTTATTATTAATAATAATTATTATTATTTTATTTTTCAAATGTGACTGTTTTTGTATGGATTCTCACATCCATAGGCTGATGTAAATACATTTCTACTCCATAGAAATATGAAATTACTGTTCAATGTGGTAGCTCTATGGTCCTGACTGAGGCAAAATTAAAATGTGAATGCTATTATGCTATTATGTTGTTTTTATTCTGAGACTGTGCATCAAGAACCTGGATGTAGCAGGAATGTATTTAACTATTTAACATCCTCCCCCCCCCTCTTTTTTTTGGTTTGTTTGTTTGTTTGTTTGTTTGTTTCCCAGAGGAAAGCTAAAGTACTCAGCCTACATCAAGGCTGGAGCTAGCAAGCCACAAGCGCATCACAGGATCTCATGAATAAAGAAACACGCAGTTATGTCCTGCAGCCCAAGCTGAATGTATTTATTTTCATCAGACCTGGGGAGTTCACACTTGGGCCAATTTCAAGGAGTGACTAAAGACATTCTGCTTCAAATTCCACCCCTTCTGCAGAAGAGCAGCATGTGGCTATGACTCAAAAGCTGAATTACTAGCATTCTCCTGGAAAACTGTGAGTGGTGGCTACAGAAGAGTTCCTTGCCTCCTTACTTCCTACCTCCTCCCTCCCTTTCTACCCATAGGAGATAGTGGGTTGCTCAGGGTCTGACTTGGCTCCTCTGTCTTGATTTTTCTCTGGTGAGTATTTTTCTGGTTTGATTTTGCTGGTGAGTATTTTTCTGAGCTGGCTTTTGTCCTGTTGAAGGGAAGACAGGTCCTTTGTCTGGAAGGTTTTACGTCCTCTTCTAGGCTAGGTTGCATTCAGCTTGAGCTTAGTTCACAAGACAAGGGATGCTATTCAACTGCCCTGAAAATTAGATGTCTCTAAAGTAGCCATCTCTGCAGTCACCCACTATATCCACATAAGCAATAAAAAAATATATCCACATCAGCAATTTGTCAAGTCAATGAAGAGAAGTAAGCCCTGTTAAAGTTTGTCTATTTTATCTGTTTTTCTATCTGTTCTTCTATCTATTTTTCTTCTTTCTGGTGAAAGAAGAAAAATTTTCTTATTTTCTTCTTCTATCTATTTATCTTCTTTCTATCTATTTTTCTACATGTTTAAAGATGAAATTAAGTGCAAGGCAAGGCTTCTTGAAAACAAAATAATCTTATTTCTTCCTTCTAATTCAGTGTTCCTTACTTAAATTACTGTTCTTCGAAAGTTCTCACTTTGCTTCTTTTTCCAATGATTTTTTTTTCCTCTTCCTTTTATAATTGAACTTCTTTCACCATCAGCCCTCCTAAAAAAAAATAATAATAATAATAAAAAAATTTAAAAAATCTCCCCAAGTTCTTCTACTTTACAGCAAACATTCATAGATATTTATTTCTTACTTTCTCCACATCCCAGAGCTCTATTTCTTCACCAGGTCTTCAAGCTGCATTTGCACACATTTATAGATGTGTTTAGCAACTCTGGTGGGCCTGGTACCTCTGCAGTATCATAGTTTAAAAACATAAAATCTCCTTATCCGCATTTCTAAGATTATGCTACTTGAAGCACCCTTGTGACTTTGGTTACCTTCAGGAATCCCTCCTCCACTGAAAACTGGGTCACTTGACTGCTGTGATGCACACTTAGTTGTCCTTTCTCAACCTAAAAATGAATTTTCTAGACAGGATCATGGTCTTCATGTTAGCTAGAACATTTCTGCTGGTCCAGTTTAAAACACACCCTACATTCCCAATATTGTCTGGCCTTTTCTGGATAGCTATTCTTGGACAAAATTAAAGAAAAAAAAATCTTTCAGATATGATTATCCCAGAGCCATTAAGCATTATTGATAAATATATTTGCATTCACTTGCCAGACATGTCTTTAAACTAACCAGGTAACTTAACTTAGACATAGGCTGCTTCTCTTTATATTAAGTACGTGGCTCTCTCCATGAGTAGAAACTGTGTTGGTCAGCTCCTCACAGTTCCTAGAAAGCAGAGGACTTAAGGCCCTGCTCCTTAAAACCTGAGGGGAATGGAAGCATAAGATAATGTCTCTCTCCTTTTTTTATTTATTATTATTTATTTTTTATTTTATTGTTATTTCAATCAGAATGCAGGTCAGAAGAAATTATTAGCCTTTGTTTTCTTCTCCTCAACAGAAGGTTTTTGGATAGTTTATCCTGCAGTGCATTACACAGTTGAGAATCATAACATTTTATATATTTTTGTCTTGATATTGCACTCTTTTCTAGTAGTAATACTCTTTTTAGACACTGTCAAGGACAAAATACTGAGCTAGAGTGACTTACTTCAGTTACTGGGTCTGACTGAGGAGACCACTTGTACAGTCTGTCCATATGCAAGCATTCAAGCAGTACCAGAGGAACAAAAATTTAAAAACAGCTGGTTGGAGTTGCTGGTGTAATATCGGTGCCTCCTGGACAACCAGAGAACTTGTTTTTTGCAGCACTTGATGGTTTTCAGGAGACCACTAGATCTATTTGTACTTTGGAGCTTAGAAGCTTAGTGTATTTGACAAACAACACAAGGTTTTGGTGAAAAAAAAAAAAAAAAAAAAAAACACCTGCTGCAATTCATAGGGATTCACATACTTCCTCTCTGTTATGGGGCAGATGCATCTTCATACAAAATGTGTAAGGTAAGACTTCAAAATCTGCAGCACAAATTTTCTTGAAATTTCTAGTTCAGAAAATCACTTTCCAATACAACAGATCAGTGAATCTCCCAAACCAAATAGAGTCTGTGAAGCCTTCACAGGAGATTGCTTAATGGGGTCATCTTGTAGTGTATTGTGGGTGAATTTTGTTATGAGACTTTTCCCACCAGAGTTCTACATCCATAAATAGAATTCTGGAATTTCTGCTCTGATCTTTAATACAGAGAAGCTGCAATAATAAAGCTTTCTTTACAACACCAAATGTTTAAACTATTCTGAGCTGTTCTAGTATTCAAATATATGTATCTCAGTTACTAGGGTTGCAATAAGTTTGTGTGTATACATTTACATGTTCATTCAGAGAAGAATAAGAGAAACTTGATGAAGAGGAGTTTGATTTACAAAGAATAAACTGTAATTCATATTTTGAAGTCTGAAAATAATACCTGAAGCTTAATTGTCACAGTAGTCTTCCTTCTTCACCCTTGTTGCACACATCTGGCAGGCAGGTGTATGTTCTCAAAATCTGGGCTTTCCCAATACGTCTCAGATCAATCTTTCAGGATATTTAATCACTGTCAGTATAGTCAGGCTCCATATCATCCTCAAAGCAAAATGCTATGGTTATTATCTGGTATTTAGTTTTTACATCAGCTTTGAAGAATGCTCAATATATTGAACGTAGGCAATGTCTCTTCTTGATGCCCACAGCATCCATAACATATCCTCAGAGTAAACACTAGATGGTGGAAAAGTCAAGTTTAGAATAGGATTTATTAGAGATGCCTAAGCATATTTTTTTTCTCTCTGCATTCTTCAATTGTTTTTATTTATTTTGTAAATTAAATGGTAATAATAAATTTTAACTGTAAATTAAACTTTTATTTCTCTTGTTTCTCCCTCTACTACTTTCATGCATTTAACAACATTAGGTACAATGCAGAGTGAGGCTTTATTGCTGATTTTCATAATTTGGACACAACTTCTAGCATGTATGTAATGCCGTCAGATGCAAGTGGTCATATGAGGAATTGGTTGGTTGCGTGCACACACACACACAAATCTGCCAAATTGTCTTCTGACACCATTTAAATTACTGGAGTTTCCATAGGATAAACTCAAACATGTTAAAAAATCAGGTACGTCATTATAAATCTAGAAAACAGTTGCATTGATGAAAATATATATATATATATATATGTACTGCCTGCTCTGTTATTCTAGCTATTTCTGTGAGAGGCTGCTCCATATACATGAGTGTGTTTATCCACACAAACTTTGGATTTCCTCTTTGCCTGTGACTTCTGTGTAAACATCAAAAAACTACACATATAATTATTTGCCTGCATGAAGATCTATCAGTGAACTCAACATTTTAATTAAGTAGGTTTGTGTGGAAATCCCACACATATGGAGGCTCAGTGAAAAACACACACAGTTTGAAGTTTAATTGAGCTCATTAATACTCTTTAGCAAGTTCAGTGCTTCCAGCTGTTTACAGAACAAGGGCTCAGATTAACCAAAGAGTTAAACATCAACTAAACAATTCATGCTTTACCAGAGAATTAAGTGTTATTGGAGTGAAAATGTCTTTTACTAGCTGAATCTGGAAGCAAACAGTACTACAGTGACAGGTTATATATAGTCAGGCTTTGTACTGCACAGTACTGGAGATCAAAATTACGTTGTACCTATTTATACTACACCTCTAGTAATGTTGTTATTAATAGGCACATATTTCCCAAATAACAATTCATAAATTGTATTACCCTTGCAAGACCTGTTTATGTTTGGTCAATCTTTTATCATTATCTTGTTCCAGTTTCACAAATGGGGGTTACATTAGGAACACTTTGAAATAAAGTAGCCTGAAATTTTCATCCTTTAAAAAAGGTATGTATATTTTTATTCCTCTATAGCAAAACAATCCACTCTTTTCTTTTACCAAGTTATTGCTCCATGAGCTGCTATTTTTTATCAACAGGTCCAGTTCTTTGGATTGTAACTCAGCTGAACCCTCTGACTGGTAGGTCAGATAGATCTTAGATCTAACTATCTTAAACTTCTGTTTTTCATTGTTCCTTAAATTTTTGGTAAACAAGACCATTCCCACTGTATTTCCACCTACTATGTCACACATTCTACAGCATTTTTGGACTCTTTCTCTCAGTCTCTCTCTCTTTTTTTTTTTTTTTTTTTTTTTTAATGCTTTTGTTAATTTAAGTCTTCTGATATACAACTGATAAATTTTCCTTAATATTTACACAAATAGAAACAGTCTTGGCTATCTTCCAAATATTTTTCCCATAGTGATAAGGTAATATCTACTTTTATGTCCTTTCCTATTTCTCCATAAAGGCAGCCTTGTTTTCTAGTTTCATAATTATTCATTACACAGAAAGATCAGGCCCTTTAAGATGGCCTTTCCTGTAGTTTGAATTTCTGTCCTTCTTGTACGAGACTACGTATTACCAACTGGAAATACAGTCCAAACTGGTGTACTGATAAGTCCCATGAATGCTTTGATGTTCCACTTTCTGAGATGTTATCATTACAGAGTAATTGGCCAGTAGCTGAATGTTGGTTTTGTTGTTTTGTTTTCCTTAGTGTCATATGCTGAAATAGATAAAATTACAAAAAAATCTTGAATGTTTTTCATAGATGTAAGAAAGGAAGGAAAGAAAGGAAGGAAAAGACCTGCCAGTTCTGTGTAACAAATTTCACTACACAAGTTGAATCTTTTTTTTTTTTTTTTAGATATTACACAAAATCAGGAGTGAAAGAAATGCATAGTTAAAATTCATTGTGTTTCAGTGTTCATCTGCATTTATCTGGGGTCACCATGATAACATAACAGGGACTCAGACATAGAAAAAGGAACCTAAAGTGGTTGAAGAGGAACAGATGAGCCAGAGGAATACAGAGACACTGTCTGAGTATGAAGGGATGGTGCTAAGAAAGCCAAAGCACACCTGAAGCTGACTCTGGCAGAGGACATAAAGGACAAGAAGAAAGGTTTCTATGGGTACATCAGAAGATAAAGGAAGACTGGAGAAAATGTAGGCCAGCTGCTGAGTGGAGCAGGGACCTGGGACAACGACATGGAAGAGGCCAAGGTATTCAATGCTTTCTTCCCCTCAGTCTTTATTAGCAAGATAGGCCTTCAGGCATGCCAGGCCCCTGAGATCAGTGAAAGTCTAGAGAAAGGAAAACCTACCCTATCTGGAGGACATTCAGGTTAAGAAACATCTAAACAGATTGAACACATGTAAGTCCATGAGACCTGATGAGATGTGCCAGTGCATGGTGAGGTATCCAGCTGACATCACAAGGACACTTTGAAAAGTTGTTGTGACTGGGAGAGTTCATGTGGACTAGAAGAAGGCAGGTGTCACTCTAATATTGAGGAAGTCCAGGAAAGAGGATAAGGGGAACTACAGGTCAGTCAGCCTTACATTGGTCCATGGAAGGGTAATGGAGCAAATAATCCTGGAAACCATTCCCAAACATATTAAGGATTAAAAGGTGATTCAGAGTAGTCAGCATGTATTTTTGAAGGAGAAATCATGCTTGACCAATCTGATAGCTTTCTACAATGAGGTGACTGGCTTGGTGGATGAGGAGGAAGCAGTAGATATTTACCTTGACTCTGGCAAGACTTATGACCCTGGCATCCACACAGACAGAGCAATGAAATACCAGCTATATTAACGGACACTGAGGTGGACTGAAAAGTGGCTGAATTGTCCATGTTACAAGGACTGTAATTAGTGACACATACTTCAGCTGAGGCCAGTCACTGCTGGTGACCCTTCAGGGCTGATAGTGAGGCCACTCCTGCTTAATATATTTGTTAATGACCTGGATGATAGGGTAGAACACAACCTCTGCAGAACTGGGAGGAGAGATTTATACACCAGGGCGGTGTGCTGCCTTTCAAAGGTACCTGGACAGGATGGAGAAATGGGGTGACGTGAACCTCATGAAGTTCATCAAAAGTCCCTGCACCTGGGAAGTGTGTAGACCACAAGTGGCAGGGTCTCGGCAACAGGAGGTTGCAGGGGTGGCTGGTGCAGGAGTGAGCCAGCACTGCTCTGTGCCAGTCACAGCCAGTTGGAACCTAGAGCACCTGGCATGCACCAAGGCCTTGGGCATGCAGAGGATCCCAGGGGATCCAGGGGGCATTTAGGAAACCAGCAGCCACAATGGTGAGGTGGGAGTGAGCCATACATACATGCACCCCTGAAGGTCTAAGGCCAGAGTAAATAAATAAATAACAGTATAAAGCAAGGTGGAGCAAACAGGAACATAAACACTGAGTGTCAAACAAAAACCCTTATGTGAATGACCCCAAAAAGCAGCAAACATAGAGAACGCTGAGGCTAGGAAGAAAGATGCTTGCCTACATTTGTTTCTTCCATTTTCTATGTTATCTTTTTATCAATACCAAATAAAAGATTAGGAGTTTGTGTTAATTAGCAAAAAGTTAAATTAAGAAAATATTCACCACAGTAAGGCTGTTTTGCCAGAGGCAGGGATAAGCAGACTATCAGAAAATGATCTGTGGCTCCTTGAGGACAACAAGGTGGCCATGAACTAGCAATTTACCCTTGCAGCAAAGAAGGCCAAGCATTGGGTCTGCATTAGAAAAGTGTTGCCAGCAGGCTGAGGAGGATGATCCTTCTCTTCTACTTAACACTGCTGAGACACATCTGGATTACTGGAACCAGTCCTGTGCGCCCTGGTATGTGACATACTGGAGTGGGTCCAGCAGAGGGCTAGAAGATGATTAAGGGATTGAAGGATCTCTCATATGAGGAGAGGGTGAGACACCCAGGACTGTTCAGTTTGGAGAAAAGAAGCCTATTGAGAATCTTATAAATGGGTACAATTACCTGTTTGGGGGAGTGGATAAAGATGACTGAGCCAGACTCTTCTTAGTGGTGTCCAGCTGCAGGACAAGAGGCAGCAGACACATACTGAAACACAGGAAATTCTATTTAAATATAAGAAAATATATTTTTTATTTTATTTATTTTATTTTATTAATTTATTTATTTATTTAGTGTGGGAGTAGTCAAATATAGGGACTGGTGGGCCAGAGAGGCTGTGGCATCTCCATCCTTGGACACATTCAAAACTTGACTGGCTATATCTATGAGAAACTGGTTCCAGATGTCTCTGCTCTGAGGCAGGGGTACCAGACAAGCTGATCTAGAGGTATCGTCAGTGATTCTATGTATTTGTTATTCATTCGCACCCATCACAATCTAGATATATTTCAACTACCACAATAGAAGATATGGCTAGATGAATAATTTGTCAACACTATAAGATCTATTATAAAGCCACTGTGGATGATTTTCTAGTAACAGTTGAAGGGTCCTATGTGAACAAACAGGAAATCCTCACCAAACTGTGTGCCTGCTACAGCTGCCAGATTTGATCGCTGCAAGGAATAAAGAAGGAAAACAAACAAACAACAAACAAACAAACAAACTTTTAGGTATTTCCCTACAGTACCACACATGTCTGAAGCAACTTTGGTCCAACACTCGCAGAATGGGGCAGTCAGCAGCAGCCACTGTAACAGAAGCTACACTGCTCTTATCTCACTAACTCCATTTTAAGAAAAGCAAGTTGAGAAAGTGTCATGCAACAACTTGGTGTCATAATAGGTAAGACTGAAGCAGTATCAGTCTATAGTGAATGGTGCATCAAAACAGTGTCTCCAAGAAGCACTTTCTAAGACACTGTTGAGTCAATTAGATATCAAAACTGACATCTGAAACATGAACAGGTATATGAGGATGATTTTGTTTGCTGAGAAAACAAATGCGTCTGATTAAGAACTGGTTATTGCACACACTGAAAAATCTACTACTTATCACAGAGGCTAGATGAATCATTGCAAATCATACTGAAATTTTTTAAAGAACAGTGTTTAAGTGCCATGTGCAGTTGCTCACATATCACAAAAGCAGTCAAGTAATAAATAAGTAAGACAAATCACGAACTAAGAATTAAAAAGAGTTGTTATCCTGGTGTGCAAGTGACTTTGCAAAAATGTTCCTTCAAGATGGGAAAAAACATATTTCTTGATTACACCTGCACTAATCAAATAAAATACTTTGTACCAGCAACAAAGCACTGCCTCCTTTAAATTCTTAATATATATCCTACTACACATAACTTTATCTCTAAGATAAGGTGTCTCTTGAAACCAATAAAAGAAACTTCCAAGGGAAAAAAATAAAAAAATAAAAAGGACTATATTTTTATTATATTAATGTTATTAATCATAGGATCGTTGCATTTAAACTACATATCAGATTTTGTTGCTGTCTTTTGTCCCAGTGGAAACTATATATTCCTTCAGAAAAAGTTGTGTAACAGGTACATGCTGAATATCATTAACAGATTTTACAAGAGTTTGAAAATGGTAAAAGAGCAGTAGATAAATGTATAGCCCTGACAGCAATATAAGACACAATAAACAACCTAAGATATTACTGAAATAAAAGGTCACCATACAATATGGCAGACACAAACTCTATTAGAAAATCATTGACTTTATACTGAACTTTTCAAGAAACAGAGACAATGTCAGAGACAACAGTGTCCTATCAGGGAACATGTTTTTGCTGATACTTTTCAATGAACCTTTACCATGACCAATTACTGCATCAGCTCTCAATCAGCTCAGTCACAGAACCTAAGTGAATCTCTTTCATCTCTATGATAAACACTTTATTGTAATTTGAAACATGATGTCTTATGCCTACCAACCATAAATGCTATCAGTCCCAATGACAACAATGCTCGATTTTGTGATTTTCTTTAGGTTACACATGAAAAAGGCAAAATCTGAGGTAGGTCCTGAGGATTAAATGCTAAAAAAAATATCACAATTCTCAGCAGAAAGTCAACAAAATAATGTTATAGGTGGTGTATTTACATGCTGTTATTCAACATCTGAATTTGCATGTTTATTGGCTATAACAGGACTTGCAAAGAAGTTAGGTACTGCACTGAATAACTGCTAGTATTATTTAAGCCACCATTATGGGTGAAGTAAATCAATTAATACACATTTAGTTTGTGCATGTGCCAGACAGAGTGAGTGATCACAATGAAAGGAGAAAGCATAACAGATTGAAAACACAAGACCGATGGAAATTACAAAGATTTCTTGTCACCTTCTTTTTAAGGTACCATCTAAAAAGTAGTGGTGTCTAAATTACTAGGAATTTGAAATTCACTAATCAATTTTTTAGTGCAAGATTAGAAACAACTGCTGTTCCCACATACACATCTGTTGGTGTAGAATCCAGCTGGCTAACCTAGAGATACCTGACCATTGTAAAAGTATAGACACATATGAATGTGGGAAAATACAACCCCAGGGACACCTATTGGACTCTTGAAAGTGTCAGGTAACATTGAGAAATTGAGAACCTGGTCAAGACTGAAAAAAAAAAAAAAAAGTATTTAAGTATTTGTCCAAATTGGAAATAGTAATAATAATTGTTTGGTAGTGGAGATGAAAATAAAAGAAAAAAAAATGATGATAGCAGACTGAGAAATTGTCTGCACTAGTCTTAATAAACAGTCACATGAGAACAAGGGAAGTGACTGCACTCCCAGCTCTGCCTCATGTCTATGTGACTGCCAGGTGGACAGCCTGTAAATCTTCTGAATGCAGAAGATGAAGATAGTCACACAAGCTGTCAAGCCTAGATATATGAGACATTTCAAATGCTTTTCCCAATTTTCTGTCCAAACAGGCAATGTGATCTTTAGAGAGATTTCTGGATGCTCCTCAAATATTCTTCCAAGCAGTTGGGACAAGCAGTCCAGGATTCCTGGTGAAGCCAGAATGAGCAAAGGATTTATTTAACCGAGAGAAGAAAAACATGGCAGGCTTTGTACCTTTGGTTTGCCATTTTAATTCAGTGTTTTGTACTATTTCATTCTAATCTACTAAAATAGGATGTTGTATGTTGAGAAGTGTTGTCTGTGTCATTGCAAACCTTTACTCATGACAAAATGTTTTGAAAAATAAGTCTACTGGGGTCCAAACCAGGTCATGAAATCACATTGACATACAGAGGTGCATATGTCAAAGTGGCTTTAGAAAGTTTTCTTCTCAGCCAAGTTCAATGCACTTCTCAGCCAAGTTCAATGCAATATTGAAAAAAAAAAAAAAAAAAAAAAAAGGAGACTCATCTTCACAAGGAAAGCTGCATCAGTTTCAGAGACATTATTCACCCTGAGGATATATCAGGGTCCTGTATAAATGTAGCAACTTCTGCTTGGATTTCCTCAAGAGCTGTTTTGGGTGTCCATACTGGCTGGACCTAACATAGGAAATTGATTTCTGGCAAGCCATTTGTTTTAACCACAACTATATGGCCAAGCCAAGTCAAATGTAAATTTTTCCGATCCAACAAATCATTTTTTAATTTTGAAATAACGGGAGGAAAATTCATCTTATGAAACTGATGGAGGTGAGGAGAAATATTGACTCCTGAGTCCCTCATTTGTTTAGACCACACAAACGCAAATGTATTTTACAGCTGTTCAATCACGGCTTTCTGTATCTCATATTTCAGATTTAATATAATCAATTTCATACAATTATATCTGGTGGAATGTATTAAGTTCTTCCAGAACATACATTGTAGACTTTAATCAATAGATAACTATTACTAGGACATCAATTATATCTAAGGCAGATCTATATAAATGGTACTTTGTGCTTTCAGTAAAAAAGTTGAACACCAAGAGAAAATGGGGAAAGTGGGTGGAGACTTACACTGTCAAGGTACTTTTTATAGATGGAGTTCCCTTAGGGGAGTATTCTTTTAATTTTTATCCCAGGAAGCAATTGAAATGTATTTATTCAAGTCACCTTTCACGTCTGGTCCCTCATTCAAGAAGATTTCATGATTTAATATTATTGCTTTTACTGTTTAATGATAGCATAAATCTTTTTTTGCTTCCCCATTCCCCACACCCATAAACTATGCCTATATTTGTCCATTCCTTGGTTGATCAGTTGGGTTGGATGGGAATTTTGTTGAGTCTATGATGCTTGAGCAGATTTGTGAGGATAAGTTCTTCATAAGAAAAGTTCACACAGCAGAGATACAGGAATTAACTACAGAAAAGGGCAGCATTAGACACTCTCTTGTCCTTCTCCCTCCTCTTCCCCTCAAATATGTATTTATTTTTCTATTAGTACCTACCTCAGTACCAAAGATAAAAAGCTTCTGGTTTCATTTACTCTGGTAATTGCTTCTTGTAAATGATCCTTATGAAAAAATCTTGAAGAAATAAAAAGGTGAGAAATTAGCATCAGTTTGCTACACTGACTAGCATTCTGTAGTAGTGACTTCTGAAATCTCGTATTTCAATCTGAATGAGATCTGTAGACCTCTTTTCAGGACTCTATGAAAGATGACTACAAAAAGGAAGTTCAGCCATGTGTTGTCTCCAACGATTGTAGAGAAAGTTCCACAACTCTTCATTCCTCATTCACTCTTTTTCTCCTGAATTGCCATGGAATTCTCCTAAATCTTTTTTAAGAAATCTTTTGATAGGACGGCAGAGGTCTGCAAATTTAACACTGTCATCCAAATGGCTTTTGCTGAAGAATTAGCAATTATTTCTGAAGATAATTTTCCCCTTAGATCAACAAAAAATGTCCTGTAAGCATCTTTGATGTAGATCTCACTGCAGTATAGCAAGCTGTGAGAAGAACCTTTGTTTTCTGGCAGTTGTATTTTGTTTTGTTTTGGTTTGGTTTGGTTTGGTTTGGTTTGGTTTGGTTTGGTTTGGTTTGGTTTGGTTTGGTTTGGTTTGGTTTGTTCAGTATGGTCTTCTTCCAGGTTTGGGAGCCACTGGTTACCTTAAGTGACAGAATTATCTCTGATTCTAGGTCCAGAGAATCCAATAAAAGGGAGCAATGCAAAATTAGTGGGCTTCTCAAAAAGTTGTGGTCAGGGACTTTTTTAGGTCTTGCAATACAAAGCCCTAGCTATTAAAAACCAGAAGACAGATGAAATAGATGATCTTTGCTTCTTCCTAAAAATAAAAATATTTTTTTCTTCTACAAAGTCAAAAATATTTTGAGTTCATAGACAGAAAAGAATTAGAAATAGAATTGTTCCTGCAAAACAGAAACAATCCATATAAATGATCCTCTGTCCACACTAAAGGACTTGGATCTCAGTGTGTGATCCATGAATTGCAAAGCATGGAAAGCTCAGACAGTGACAGAAAACTTACTCCTACCTGCAGGGACAGACGTGTTAATGGCAACACTGTGTGAAGAGGCAGCCAAGCAGCCTGGGCCTCTCAGACAGTGCTGTCGCTTGCCAAGCTCAAGGAATGGCTGAAGGTGTTCAGAATGAACTTAGAGCCAGAATGAAGAATGGTAACTTCTTGCCTTGTTTCTAGATGAGTCTACAGGAGTATGTTTATTTAATTTATTCCAGCTTACTTTCATATGAGAAATACAGATTTGAAAGAAAGCAGTTGGAATATTTTTGGTCCTGATATCCCCTGACAGTCTATGCAAAAGTGATGTACTTATATGTGTAAATATGTGTGGTTGATAGTTTCCTACAAGAAAATTGAATTAGTCATGTAAATGAATGAAGATTTGTATATACCATAAATAATCAGCATCAGGAAGCTTGCACGTTCTCATTTTACAGAAAAGTACTTGCTTCAGAAGTAGACTTCTCTTCTTGAACTTCTCTATAAACCAATAAGCTGCCCAAATAACAGAGTACAAGGATTTACTTTTTTTCATATTTTCTCTTTATTTGGCAACCTCTACAACAACATCAGCAAAGCACTTCACTGTATGATTGATGACACTAAAGTCTTCGCAAAGAAACTTCAATTATGTGTGTCTTCAGTAGCAGAAAACTGATAAACCAAATCCTTGAAATCTGTTGTTTAGAAACAAGGGGTCAGTAGAAGATAACAAAAAGAGTAAAGTAAATGAATGTTTATTAAATTAAAATAAAACCATTCACAGAAAACTGCAGTCCTGTTTCCAACAGTAAAGGAAAATGAGTAGTCATTTCAATGACGGAGGGCAAATCCCTATTCATACAGAAACTTCTTGGCTG